AAAGGTGTATTTTAAAAAATTGTAATAAGAGGTATTTTAAATTCTTTTTTTGTAAAGTTGGATTTTTATTAAGTTATAACTGAAAAATTATTTAAAGGAAAAATTACAAAAAAAAGGTGTTTAAATATCACACTTCAAAAATCAGATATAAAGTATATTTAATCAAAAATCAGGTGACAATTTAATATTTTAATATTAATAATTATATTACAAATTGAACACCCATCAAAACACTCACCCCACTTAATTTCAAACCCTAAATCATTTTAATCCTCTCTCTTTCTCTCTCTCTCTCTCAATGAGGCGCTGCACGCTGGAGTCTACTGTAGCGACGACAATATGGAGATGGTTTTGGGGACGTCGACGTGCACGCTGATGTGAACTGCGGCAGCGTCGTTCACAGCAGAGTCGCGATGCCGCTGTGAACAGCAACCTGGTGTGTGTGCGCGCGCGCGCAGTTAGTTGGGTTTTTAGTTTGTGTTTTTTTGGTTGTTGGAGTGGTGGTGGTGGTGATTATTTTTATGTTTTGGTGGTGTTGGGATTTAGGGGTGAGTCCGCCTGTGGCAGTGGTGGTTTCCATGTTTTGGGGTTGTTTCTGGAGTGTTGGTGTTATGTTGAGGTGGTAGTGGTTGTTTAGTGGTGGGGTTGTTTGTGGCTTGCAAAATGGCGTTTCTGGCGACGACAGTGGTGGTGGCCGAGTGGATGGGTGGTCGCAAGTTGCCGTAGTGGCAGTGGCGATGGTATGTGACCACTATTAGGTGTATGTGACTAATTATTTGGTCATCTGTGACCAAATATGGGTGGTGGATCGAATCGGCGTGGGGTGTTTTGGTGTATGTGACCATCTATTTGGTTTAACTTGAAAATATGTGATCGATTTTCGATCTATGACCGACAATTTTTTTGATATGTGACCAATGAAATAAACTGTGACGTATAAAATTTTAGATTTGTGATCTCGAAATAATCCGTGACCTACAAAATTTTTGATTTGTGATTGATGAAAAAATTGTTACTTATAAAATTTTAGATTTGTGATCTCGAAATAATTTGTGACTTACAAAATTTTTGATCTGAGATTGGAGAACAGTTGCCAGAGTGGTCGCCGATCACCGGAGTAGTCGCCGAAGCAGAGATGGGGGTGGGTTAATTATATTATATTACAGTTAAATATTTAATTTTATATAATAATTGTGAAATAAAATTAATTAATTAATTTATGAAAAACCTGATTTTTATAATTCTAAACTTTGGGACCTGATTTTTTATTTTGAGATAGATAAAGCATGAGTTGTGAATTTAAAACTAACTTTTAAACTTAGCCCCACATGCTCTTACCCAAAAGTTCATGTGAACATACGTTAACGGACCAAAAGCCCCGTAAAATATGTAACTGCTAAGTCCATTAAAGACCCAAATATTATAAAGCCCAACTAATGACATTTCAGTTTAAGTCGAAATTGTCCCGCGAAATCAAAACCCGGAACCTCCTAAATTCGCAACTCCTCTAAAATCCGACCCGTTTATACTCGTTCCCTCTTCAATCTTGATCCAGACAATGAGGCTTCTTCAACAATGATATCGTGAATCAGGTAACAATAATGTATACATTTGAAGTTAAATTGCTTGAATTTTTTGTTGAATTTTTTTAAGTCCATTAGTTACTCTATCTGTTTAATTGATATTTGTTTTAGGTATTTGATTGAAGCGAAAATTAATTGGTCGTTAATATATCTGAATTTCTATTACTTTCTGATGACTGTTTTTTGATGCCAGGGTTTTTAGATTAGTCGGTTTTTATGAAGATAAAGCAATTTCATAGATGAAAATACTGGATATATGTTGGTTTGTTTGAGTATTCTTTCGAAGAAAACATGGAATAGAAATTGACGTTCTCGATGTATGTCAACCGGAAGCATTGGCTAGATAGTATGTGTGTGTGTGTGGTGGTTTTGTGCGGGGTACTGCGGGGTTTGGATTAGGAATACTCATGCCATTGCGTAACAAAAGTGAGGATATACACGAGGGAGGGGTTTCAAACTAACATGAATTATTTTTCTGCTTTCTTTCAACCCTCGTTCTTCGAGCAAAATCTTCAAGGTTAATGGAATACTTCATTTCATAGTGTGATTTCTTGAAGTTGCTGGTCAACCAAACACAAGGTGATCGTGTTATTTCTCTAGAAAAGTAGTTTGCTGGTGTTACTAGTATTTTATAGTTATCTTTTCCTTCCTAGTTGATAATTTTAATGTGGAGCAGTACTAGACATGACCCCAAGCTGATACTTAATAGGAACATCGTTAAATTCTTGATGCTCGTTCCCAAATATCGTCAATTTCTTGATGCTCATTCCAAGTTCGGAATGCCATTTAGACAAATGGAAATCCCATGATAACGAAAGTTTTGTTAAAGGACTGGAGCAGGCTACTTCTTTTGTGCTTCAGTTGTGAGATTTTCGATTATATTCAACACCTTGATTCCTACTTATGCATAATAAGTCTAATAGTTAAATCTTGGGCATATATTGGTGGCATTGACCATGATTATATGTGTATCACTTGTTATTCTGGGCATCTCTTGAATTATGCTAGTATTAGACTAATTATTGTTTTATGGATTGCATTATGACTAGACAGCGAAATCAAATACGAGCTCCTTTTGTTTAGAAGTCGAGAGAAATACTCTTGGAAGAATTAATTTATCGCTCTGGAAAAGGCAAAAGACAGTTACAAACCCTTGAGATTTTGAGGATTCTTTACATTGTGGTATGACATGAAAATCTTGATAGATCTCTAATAACACAAGACATCCACAGAAGTACCAATCACAAAAATCCCAGTTCCAGCGAGGATTCAAAAAAGAAATTTAACATCACACCCATTTTTTCGAGACCCAACTCGAGAATTAAATTCGGGACAGAAACACACCATAAATGCTGAAATTATGTTTTTTTCACTCCTCAATTGGACCACAAAAATTTTATTACATTTCAAGGACAAAACTATTCATTTAAGTTTGTTTCTAGATTCATATGTGCCTCTTTGATGTACATTCTGCATTAGTATCCTGTTTTGCTTGTTATAATACAGAACAGCATTATCTGTGTAACGCTCGCCAAGATACTGCATGCTACATTAGAATTAACTGAATTTCTTTTCTGAAGGAACTGCAACTGAAATTTTTTATTCCTCTTTCAGGAATAGTTTAGTTGCAAAGAGTCCGGTGGGAGCTTTTGTGGAAAAGTCGAGTGCTCCGGTTGACCTAGGGGTTGAGCTTATAATTTCTCGTGACAACGGCAAAGTCAAGGTTCATATATAGTGGGAGCTTTTCATTAGTCATAAATCATAATAATAGGTTGTCAATTAACATTATAGACTAAATGAAGGAGATTTACTGAACACCTGTAAAAAATTACACGTATTTTATGCATAAAAGAAAAAGAAAATCTGATTTATTTTCCTCTCGCTAGGAAGGACTAAAGTAGTGAGAGAAAACGAAAAGTGTTCCTCTTTTGAAACTTTCTTAAAAGGGGCGTACATTCATTGGCTAACAATTTGTGACTCCAAATTGTTCTGGTTTTAACGTAGAAAAGTTCTTTCATTAGAGTCTCTTACTGGCACGAGTGGAAGGAAGGTAAGAAATAACTTTTTGGAGCTCATTTTGTACATGAAGATGGAGAAGAACAAGAGGAATAAAAGAACAGGAAAATGAAAATATATAAGCATTTGGTTCATGTCAATTCGACCAGATGGAGTTGAGGATTGAGTTGGTCGAATGGGCCTTTCTAATAAGGGTATACTTGACATATTGCATGTGTCTGTAAGAGAGGCCTTTTGATAAGAACTTTGAAGTGTAGTACTTTTTCATTTCAACCCTAGAAAAGGGAGGGACCTGTCAAAAAAATTTCTCTCTCACCAGAATTATTAGTTTTAAGTTAGAAGATTATTTATTTTGTTATATTAACTTTCCATTTTTGTCAGAAATTTAAAAGTATTGAGTAAGAATGGTATTTCTACAAAATATAGACATAACTATAAAATATTCAATATAACTGAAAGTCCTTCCTAAATTTCTTTTCCATATCTTAACCTAAGATCTGAATCAACTTTCATTGCGGAGTTTTACCTACCTTGTATGGAGAAGGCATTTCTCTTTGTAGAAATTTCTTAGTTAGGAAGAGAAATCACAGTATAATAAGCAGAGTTCATTAGATCCAAAGAATAAAACCTGATTTTAATGATTAAACTAATCCACTTTCATCATTTCCTGCACCCACTCCAATATCTGTCTATCATTTGGTTGGTTAATTTAGAGAAGAAAAAAATAACGAAGAAATGGATCTGTTATGAAATTTCGGTTCTTGGGCAGAGAACAAAGAACCGGATGGGTCCAAATCGAAATAAAAGAACCAAGCCCACTGAACCGGGTTGGTCCAGTTCCGAAAATTTTTGGCCAACTTCAAGTGAAATGATCCTCATTTATGATGTTTTTGTTCTTCTTTAATCGGAAGCAAAGTACAAAGATTAATCATTATGCCTCAACATCTGCTTTATTTCGAAGAACGCAAAAGCAGGATTGACCTGCTTTAAATAAACAATATGGAAGAGGTTTAAGATTTTGGTTAGTACCTTTTTCAGGATACACTACCCCGAGAATAAATCCAGTGGAGACACTGTGGGAACATAGATTTAAAAAATTGGAGCTAAATGCAGTTCTTTATCAATGAAAAACCTTATTCCAAGTGGAAGTCTACATAAGAAAACAAATATTACAATTGGGAATCCGTTCAAATGGGATAGCTGGAGACAAGAACATCATATTGTCATGAAGATAGTATCAAACTCTATTATAGTAGCCCCAATTATTCTGAAGTGAATGACATATGGAGGGGATGCTTACAGAACTCTAAATACAGCAAAGAATGGAGAACAGATACCAAAGCAGCTCGAAACAAATCCAAAATGCACATCCACACTAGCACAAATACTTTGGTCTATCACCTAACTCAGCAAATCCCAAGAAAAACTAGGTTGTGCTGGCTTCATTGTGCTTGATGTTGAAGGGGCAACTAGAAAGGTTGCTGGTGTAGATTCAAAAGTTTCCCACTTTGTAGTTATGACAACATCCCCCGAGGCCGAGCGCCTGGAATGTTGCTGATTGTGCTGTTGCTTTGGTGAATCTATAAATGAATGCCGAGCTTGTTGCTGTTCCACGGGTGATGACATGCTCCCATTAGAAGACCGGCGCACGTGCCCATTTGAATACTTTGGCTGCTGCTGTGGCTGGACAGACGTAGGTGAACGTACAGGTTTCTGGTATTCATTGCTTGTTGGCGTTGCATTTTTAATCTTCAACACGTCAAGAGTCTCGACACACTTTTGCACTCTTTTCACCTTCAAATTATATTACAAATTCAAGAAACTTGCTCCGAATTCAAAAACTGCATTGTTTTAGCCATAACATAGAATCAAATTTTATACCTGCATTTTCCTCTGTAGTTTGACATCACCATCGGCTATGATCCCATCCAGTTTAAGCAGTTGATTCATCAATAACTCAGTGAGATTTAGTACATCCTTCTCAGATACTTTTCCACCTTTAGAAATCACGGATTCAAGCTCCAAAACCTACCCAGTTTCATCAATATATCAGTTTACTGCATATAATCATTTCATTCATTCTATCGAGCCTTTAGTTTTAAAATTTATTTGCTTTTTTATTCAACAGCTTACTAGGAAATCATAATGCATCCCAGCAAGTGGGAGTAATGGCCAATTCAGGATAATTTTAAGGAATGACTTGGACAGTAGGGCTTGTTTTGCGTAAACTTAAAGGGGATCTTGTTTACAAGAGTAACACATCTTTGTAGAGCATTGTTTGTGGTAATTGTTAAGAGTAATGCTACTTGCAGTTGCTCACTGCAGCAGTCGCCCTATGTGACACACACATGGCATGTAGTTATTTGATACATTAATGTGGTAGTTTTTTACCACAATTAATGCATCAAATACACACTTGACATATGTGTGTCACATAGAGCGACTGCTGCAGTGAGCGACTGCAAGTAGCATTATTCAATTGTTAATGGTGTGATTGCTTTAGATCTTTTAGTAGTCTCTCAAATGGATGAGCCAGACGGAGTAGCGGAACAAAATCATGTAGCCGACTCTATATAACAAAAAAGACTTTGTTACTATGTCATTATTGTACTCGCCAGAAGACTAGGGTGGGATTACCTGTCCAGCAAGTTTATCGACCTCCAAGCTGATTTCGGATATTGATTTTGCAGCCCTTTCCATTTTAGCATTTTTCTTCATCTCAATGTACCTCTTCTCTTGACTAATTGGATCCTCTACTAACACAATCTTAGATTTGTCCTTCACTCCTACAGTGTCAAGGAAAACTTTAGAGTCCCTCTCTTTATCCTTGTAAAATAGCTTCTGGTCTTGGTGATGCAACCCTGTAGGTCCTGTTAACATCTTCTTCAACTCCCCTAGATTGCCAAAACCCAAAAATCAACATCAATTATCATAAATTATAAAATCTGAAAATATTCGAACAAATTTAAGAGGGAAAATCTCTATTCTCTACTGACCATTGTATATTGTTGAACTACCTTGCCTAAAAACTTAAGCATTTAGAGAGGACACGTATTTGTTTATATCTTTTCTTCAACACATATCTCAGGGGTGGACAGTGGTAATGGCTGCGACGGGACTAGAACCAATATACTATGTTGGACCATCTCGACTAAAAGCATAATCTTGTAGCATATCATTTCATTTTTTGTCTTCTAATACTAATTTGAATTGAAAGGTGGGGTTTGTTACTGAGACTTACCAAATGTAGCTTGAGAGCTGATATAGATATCGTGGTAAGTTGACCCGTATTTCACACGGACCCGAATAGTGGGTGGTGGAGCTTGGTTTTGTTCTGCATCGGTGCGTTTTTGGACCAGCATTCCGCCGGGCCTCAGCTCCCATTCATTAGGGTTGCCGGGGGCGGCGGAGCCACCGTTCATATATGGCACCCCATTAGTTTGAGTCTTCATTCTCATCATATTGATTATCGTGTACTAACACCCAACTAAATTGCTGCCGACAGTTGAATTTGAAGCGATTTGAACTCAGATCAAAGCATTAACTATGAATTGATTATTGATCTACAGTTGAATTGAATCATACATAATCCTAAACTCGGAAAATCCCAGCTGCTACAAACTCGCAAAGAATCTGAACCTCTATATACTATACTTCGCCGGGAAGGGTCGCCCTCCGGTGATCTTCCGGAGAGCTGAATGAGTTTCAGATCTCTTAAAAAAAGCCCGATATGTAAAAAAAAAAAGAGAGAGAGAGAACTCAATTGTAGTTCGAAATCTGCAAATCCTGAAACTTCCGATTAGCCGGAAGAAATTAGCCAAGAAAATTAATGAATATGCAGAAGAAAAATGAGAAAACAAATGAAACGAATATGGAAGTGATTTTTGTTCTCTCTCTCTACTTGGCCGTTGAATGTGTATAAAAGGAGAAGACTCGAGGAAGGAGAGAGAGAGAGAGAAGAAAATATGGCATATAGAAAATGAATGGACAGCGAACAGAACCTTGAGCTGAGAATGCAAAGATACAATTTCTTAAAATTTAATTTATGAATTATGATTGGGTAGTTTTGTTACCAAACAGAACCTCCAAAGCTTGTCTTGAGAATCACCTACCGTTCGAGGAAAAAGTGAAATTTGTTTATAAATAATAATTTTGTATTGTTAATTTAAAATAAGTTTTTTTCTTTCTTATTTAGAGAGAAGAAAATTAATTTTTTTAAAACCAGTAAATCTTTCTCAAAATAATAATAATTGCCTTGGCTCAAAATCCACTTTATGTCATTTTTGGAGTTTTCTTATTTATCGCTCTTCATGTGTTAGTTGCATCTCTTGTTATCTATTAACAATCTTCTTCTAGTTATCACCATTTCACATTTCTTTCTTTCCAAATGTTCTATTCATTCTTTTAATATTCTCTCTCTATATTTTATTAATTATTTTACTACTTAGTCATACAAAATCAACTAAAATTTAAAAAAAAAAATACATTTAAATTTTATCCCACCCCTGATAGGTCGTTATATTTAGCACCTTATTGATTAGAAGAGGATCCTCACTCTAATCAATAAATTAGTTTTTATTTTCTGTTTATAACCAGAAAATACACTATCAAGCATTAAAAATATAGGTCGACGTGGGGCGGGGCAAGTCCATTGTTTCATAGTCGGCAAGGAGACGCGTATGAACCGAGAAAGCAAATGTAGTCGACACTCCAAGAATTGATGAGAAATGCTCGAAGGTTTTATTGGGAGACTTTTTTTTGGAGGAAGGGTGTTTTAGGAATTTGAGGCCGGCTAATCATTGTGTTGAGCTGGACAGATGTCCTTTTACAGTGAGCGAATCCGGTTCTCATGTTTTTGTCACACGTCTAATAGCCTCAACTTTTTCTGACTTGCATTGCATCTAATTATTTGCTTTTATGCCTCCTACATTTATTTGCATTTTTCTTTTATTTCAAATGTCAATAATAACAAGTTAAAAGAGACATGACTATTAAGAACTTGTTTGGGAGAAATTTTTGGGGGAAGAATTGATTTTGAATAGTGATATGATGGGAAATGTGTGGTTGAAAAAGAAGAAAAAATTATTGATGTGATGAAAAATATTATTTTATTGAAGAATATGTGGTTGAAAATTAGAATTGATTTACTAAAAATGGATACGAAATTAATTTTTAGAGCTTGTTTGGGAGAGATTTTTGAGGGAAGAATTGATTTTGAATAGTGATATGATGGGAAATGTGTGGTTGAAAAAGAAGAAAAAATTATTGATGTGATGGAAAACATTATTTTATTAAAGAATGTGTGGTTGAAAATGAGAATTGATTTACTGTAGAAAAATTTAATTCCTCCCAAACAGGACCTAAATTTTATAATTTGTTTTGATTGCAAAAATACGTAATATTTTAATAGTCGCTGTAAATTTGATGCGTGTATTCTATTTAGTGAGCAGGTGAAATCCACACTCGTATGACATGTTGATACGATGAATTGAATAGTATGAAATATAATGAATAAGGAATTTAAGTTCAATAATTTGTTATATTGTTGAGTTATTTTTAAACGTGCATTTATTATTTGGGTTGCTTTTATTAGAAAAATATCTTAGATAAAGTTAAGTTTCGTTGTTCCCATTATTTTTTATTAGAAGTAATATGTGCACATAAAGACTATATACTCATATTACACATTTATTTATATTGATATATAATTTTTTGTTAACAGCCAATAATGCTAACAATTTCTCTCCAAATTAAGATTGGTTTCCTCTTTTAACCCCCAATACATGTGCAACCATTGCATAGCATTGAACCTAGTTTTTTAGAGAGAATTGAACCATTTGTCTATGACTTGTAATTTGCGAGACTTTCTATTATAATTATAAAATCGATCTTCAATATAGGAAAATCGTTTCACTCACATTGTTGCAAGGCTCTTATGAAAACTTGTTGAGCTTTCAATTTTTGGACACCAATCTAAGTTCAAAAATAAAATCTAACTTCATAAAATTTGATATATGAGATTTTATGTTAACCATGTGAGAGTCACACTTCATTTTCAATCATGTAAGTTTGATTATGTAATTGCAATAATGATGTGTTGATAATCAATTTGCTCCCTTTTAAAGTTAAACAAGGAAGGATCTCTAACAATTTAACTCGATAATTTATAAAGTAATGAGCAATTTAGTTGAAAACAGACTATACCATCACGTTCAACCAAAAAATCAGGAACTTATAACGAAAAATTAAACTTTCAACATAATAATCTTCTAATCAATTCGTCAACCCAAAATCAATCAACTTAATCATTTTTTTTTCATGTATTTCATTTTTTAGTCTCGTCTAGCCTGGCCTCAACTCTAATCTAAGGTCCTGTTTGGTACACATTATTTTTTTCATTCTCATTTTTCTATTCATTTTCAACCACACATTCTTCAATAAAATAATATTTTCCATCACATCAATTATTTTTCCTTCAATTTTAACCACACATTATTTATCAATCTACTGTTCAATAATACTTTTTTTTAAAAGAATGTGTCTTAAACACACTCTAAGTCTTTGACTCTTGAAGCCACTTTTTCTTTGACGTAGAGTTGTAGTTAATTTTTTAAAAATTGGTAATAAATTGTGGACAATTTCCCCAAATTTTAATAACCGTAACAATATTTCCTTAGCAGGGTGTTAAGAGTCGTTCAACCTTTTACGCCCAAACTGCAACCAAAAAAATTGCGATAATAATATAACGTGGCCAACCAAACCAAAAAGTGATGCTTACGTCACATATCATCACCTCCACGTGTCAGTCAATATCCCCAACCGCCTCCCTGCCGAAGTCAGTTGTCTGTCTTCACCTTTTCTCTACCTTCAAAGCAAAACAAAATCCCACCGACACTTTCAGACCACAAGATTAACCACTGTACACGTGTCAGTTTCTGAGCCGTCAAACTGATGGTATAATATTCTTCACAGTGGTATTCCGACAGAGACGGTACACCCCACTTTCGTGTGAATAAATAAAGAATAATAGTTAGCCCCACGGATAGACGCTATGGTAAAGTAGAAGGGTTCTATAAGGAGTATCGGAAGTTCAAATCCCGCGGCAACTAAATGGCGACATTTATGTTAAAAGGCAGATGTTCTGTAGTAGCAAAGTTGAGGTGGGCTTTGTCACCCCTTCGGGGGTTCCATCCGCACTTCCCAAAAGGGAGATTCATATGGAGGAAAACCGTTTCCACAATGTCTGGTTCAAGTGTGTATAAGACGTATCCGCATCTGAATTTACGCGGATGGCGAACAAGGAGGAAAGACCGTCATTCCTCAAAATTAGTAATCTCGGACATTTGAGTCATAAAAAATAAATAAATGAGTAAAGAATAATAGTTTAGTGTAATAGGGCGGTCGTGTTGTGGACAATTTGTAATGTATTTGTATTTGGTCAATATTTTTTTTTTTTCAAATTTCTCGTGTGAGACAGTGTACCGACAGTTTGCACAATAAATTAGAATATATATTAGAATTGTTTTATGTCAAGTGGTTTATGCAAATACTGTGGGATATACTGTTTCCTTTGACATTCACACACCATATTTTGAAACCCTTTCCTTTCTTGTTTTCTTTTGTTTGGAGATGGTTGGCCTAACTAGGGTTTATATGATATTTTGAGTATGGTGGACCTGAACATAATTGAACAATAGTAGAAAGTCGAGGTTTATACGGAGATTTGAAAAAGAGATCTAAAAAAGTGATGTATGTCGAGTTTAATATTTTAATGAACCTTTTGTACGTAGTTATTTCTTAAGGAGAAAATGTCACACTCATATTTTCTCTGTCTCTTCGATTGCGAGTTTAATTCGGAATATAATTATACATGAAAACAAAGGGCCAACAGCCAAAGAAAATGAACATCAAACAGCTGAAGGGTGACCAAATTCTTGTACTTAAAGGGAAGGCGATGGTATGTGTCAAGTTAGTAGGTCTTTTTCATGCAAATCTTAAGTTGATTTCTTTAACAAACTTAACATTTAAACATAAATAATGATTTAAAATGCTTCCCGAATAATTTACGATTATAAATAAGTTTTTTAAAATAAGAATATGTTTTAGATGGAAAAAAATGAACGGGGTATTAGTATGAAATCTAACTCTAAAGAGTAGTTGGCAACGGTGGTGCGGAGTGATGATGGGTTAGGCGATAGTATTCGGTTCAAAAAGAAGATATTTTCATTTTTTTACCCCTCTTCTTTTTTATTTACTCTGTTTCCCCTTCAATTTTCAAAGTAGTATAGATGGATTGACCAAAATACCCATTGAAAAGAGGGACGAGTTCAGTGCACTGTTTGTTGATTTGTACACATAATTCAAAGTTAATTAGAATTTGAACGCATGAATTTATCATAATTTTTTATATAATAATCGGAGGGAGAAGAAGGTTTAAGAAAGTCAAGTTGTC